TATATATAGTCTATAATAGGTAACTACTCTACTTTTAACTTATGTATGATCATTGTTGCAGCAAAGGTATTGGATGAGAAAAATGATCATGTAAATGACGCAAAAGACTTGGAATTTGGAGGATTCGGAGGCAGATTTGGAGGAGGAAATGGTGGAAATCCTGGCGGCGGTAATGGTGGTTTTGGAGGTTTTCCAGGTGGAGGATATGGTGGAATCCCTGGTGGCGGTAACGGTGGTTTTCCAGGAGGAGGATATGGTGGAATCCCTGGCGGCGGTAATGGTGGTTTTCCGGGAGGAGGATATGCTGGAATCCCTGGCGGTGGCAATGGTGGTTATGGAAGTTATCCAGGAGGAGGATATGGTGGATTTCCTCACAACTAATTACTAAGGAAAATATATTTATATGAAGAATATTATGGTTGCTATTATGGAAGTTTTAGTAGTAAAATAAAATAGTTATACTGTAGGAAGTATAAATAAAAGTACTTATATATCAAGACATTTACTATATATTATTTATCTCCGTCACCCTATATTATTTTATACGCTTTCAATATAAGGACTGTTCGGAAACTCTTGTAGCGAGAGCAGTTTACGTATACAATCTCTCTCTTTACTTGTAATTGTTATTCACATGTTTAAGGGAAAATTATATGGTTCCTTTATATATACTCCTTCCGTTTCATATTGTTTGAGGTAGTTTGACTCGTCACAGAGTTTAAGAAAAAAGAAGAAGACTTTTAAAACTTGTAATTTTAAAAGATTAAAAGATAAAAGATTTGTGGGGTTATACCATTTGTGTGGCGATAAAAACTTCTCACTAAGGGCAAAAAGGGTAAAATGAAGAGTTTAAAATTAAATTATTTCCAAATTTAGAAATGTGACATTTATTTTGGAACAGACTAAAAAGGAAAGTACCTCAAACAATATGAAACAGAGGGAGTGTTTCTTTAGTAAGTAATTCGGGCCCTAAATGTAGCGGCGTATGAAGAAACGAGGGTAAAAAAAAAGGGGCATTTGCATCTATACCCGTTTTTTATACCACATTTTAACTTGTGCCCGCTTTGTCTTTCTGTTTGCAAGCGTACCCGCTTTTTCACATAACTTCAGCCCATATTTCTTTTGTACTGGAAAACTCCAGCTGAAGTTTTACTTAAGCTCTAGAGCTTAAGTTTACTTAAGCCGTTTCCAGCTTAAGTTTTCCAGTTATAAAATAAAAACTTAAGTCGTTTCCATCTTACATTTTCCAGTTATAAAATAAAAAATTAAGCTGGAAAACTTAAGCTTAAGTTTTCCAGTTATAAAATAAACACTTAAGCTGGAAATAAATTAAGTTTTTTAAAAAGTGGGTACGGATGCAAACAGAGAGACAAAGCGGCTACAGGTTAAAAGGGGGCGCCTACAATTTTTACGTAAAAAAGGGCAAATATCACTTTTAGCCCGCAATCAAAATTATTTATATCCAATCGCATAAATGTATAAAATTTGTATATTTTTTGAATATATATTTGCAGCTATTAGTTTGAGAGAGGCTATATAGTATTATTTTTCCAAAAAAAAAAAAAAGAATAATAATTGTGGTCCAGAACGAATAAACTAAATAATTGTGATGTTGATCACAGCGAGCAAAGAAAATGTTAAAAAATGTAAAATAGAATAAATTTTTATTATTAGCTTAAAGTAGTTAAGTAAGGTTGTTAGAGTTAGTTAAGAAGTTAGTTAGCCTAAAACTACTATATATGTAATCACAGCATTCCTACAATACACAATGAATAATAATATCATTTCATTCTCTGCTATCTCTATCTTCTTCCTTTCATTCCTTATCATCTTCCTCTTGAATCTTTTCATGGTATCAGAGCAATTTGGCTTAAGAAGTCAAGCTTTGATTCTGTCAAGCTTCATTCTGCAACTTTTATCTGATTTCTCTAGTTTGTCTCTCTATTCTGTTTCTATGTAAATCTTCAATTGGATTTCTCCCAATTTGGTTCTTCCAAACTCTCAAATTCTGATTCTTCTCTAAAATCGAAAATCTGTGAAAGTTACAAAACAAGTAAAGCAAGAATCAACAGAAGAAGAAATGGGAACAATTGATGGTCAAGTGAATTTGGATTTAGGAAGTCAAAATCGAGCTGCAGCTGGAAATCACGTGCCTGGGATTGATTATAATTACCCACTGTTCTTTCTCCTGCTGATGTAAGTGGAATTCAAATCATCTTATTTCAACTTACAGCTATTGAGAATTACTCTATTTGGAATCGATCTATGCGTGTTGCTCTTTTAGGAAGAAACAAATTAGGTATGGTAGATGGACCATCCAGTAAAGAACAATTCCCAGATTCAATGGGGAATCATTGGGAAAGAGTAAATGCCATTGTATTGTCATGGCTGATGAATTCAGTAGCTAAAGGTCTGCTTGGAGGTATCATGTATGCCTCAAGTGCCCAAACTGTGTGGGAAGATTTATCAGAAAAATTTAACAAAATAGATGGGTCAAGAACATTTAATTTGCATAAAGAAATAGCCACTCTTTCTCAAGGATCTGCATCAGTTTCTGTATATTTTTTTAAACTTAAAGATCTTTGGGAAGAATTTGAGGCATTAATTCCCTCTCCTGGTTGTGATTGTCCTAAGTCAAGACACTTTGTTAGTTACTTACAAAAATTAAGGCTATATCAATTCTTGATGGGGCTTAATGAATCTTACCCTCAAGCAAGAAGCCAAATCTTGATGAAAACACCTCTGCCTATTGTTAATAAAGCATATGCATTGGTGGTAAGTGATGAAAGCCAAAGGTCTATATCTGCAAATTCTGGTATTTTAGGGGCTAATCCAGTTGGAAATCTTGATATTGCTATGTATACTAAAGCTGGTGGAGATGGACAGAATCACAGACTCAAAAGTAACTTCATTGTTCATACTCAATTTATGTGATTACTGTAAAATGAAAGGTCATGTCAAAGATAACTGCTGCAAATTAGTAGGATATCCTCAATAATTTAGGCAGAAAAAGAAGGGGCATAATGCAGCTCACAATGCTAATGTCTTAGCTGAAAACAACAGTTCAAATTTCCTTAATAATGGTCAGACTTCAAATGACAAATCTGCAAATGAAAGGCAGTATGATGAATTGGGAAGCTACAGTCAGAGAATGGAAACTATTACAAACCAGATGAGAAATTTTGCTTTCACAAAGGAGCAATATGATCAGATTGTTCAATTGCTCAAAGAGACTTCAACAAATACTACTAATGTGGACTCAACAGCTAATGCAACAGGTACTAACAAAGCTCTTTTAGTTTCAGATGGTTCTAAAGAATGTATTATAGACACTAGTGCTACAAATCACATGGTGTCTGATTCTAATCTGCTAAACAAGTCCACAATAGTACAGACCATTAATCCTAAGAAAGTTCTTCTGCCAAATGGTGATGTATGTTTAGTTACTCACACAGGAGCAAGTTTAATTTCTGATAAGAGTACTATAACTAATGTCTTCGATGTGGCTCAGTTCAAATATAATTGGTTTCTGTATCAAAAATGACAAAAGAATTATAATGTGCAGCAACATTTTTCCCTGATTTTTGTATTTTTTAGGATCTCTTCACTGGGAAGGTGAGGGAGATTGGTAAAAAGGTAAGAGGATTGTACATTTTGCTAGCTCAACTTGCAAGGAGTAGAAATAGAGCTATGTGTGCTGCTAGAAATCTGACAGCAAATGAGGCAAATAAAGACAATGTACAGCTGTGGGATCAAAGATTTGGACATGTTTCTATACTAATACTTAAGAGAATACTTCTTGTTAGTCTTCAGCATATTAAAGAGACAATAGAGAAATGTATTGTTTGTCCTTGTGCTAAGTAAACTAGACTGCAATTTCCAATTAGTAGCATAAGAAGTAATGATTGTTTTGATATGATTCATGTAGACATATGGGGTCCTTACAGAGTAACTTCTTTTGATGGAAACAAATACTTTCTTACTATACTGGATGATTTCAGTAGAATGACTTGGGTATTTCTGCTTAAGCAAAAGTCAGATGTGTTCATATATCTGCAACATTTCTTCAAATTCATCAACACACAATTCAATAAGACTGTCAAAGTCATTTGATCAGATAATGGCACAGAGTTTGTGAATGCTATTTGTGCAGACATATTTAAAAATCTAGGAATGATACATCAAAGAACCTGTGCCTACACGCCTCAACAAAATGGGGTAGTTGATAGAAAACACTGACACATTTTAGAAGTAACAAGAGCCATATGACTGCAAGCACATATACCAATCAAATTTTGTGGTCATTGCATTCTTGCTGCAGTATATTTGATTAATAGGATTCCTAGTCCAGTTATTGAAAATATATTACCCTATGAAAGGCTATACAACAGAAAACCTTTACTAAAGCATCTAAAAGTGTTAGGTTGTCTGTTCTTCGCAAAAATTGTACAAGAACAAGATAAGTTGATGATTAGATCAAATAAGTCTGTTCATATGGGTTATTCACAAGTGCACAAAGGATACATATTATATGATTTGGAAAATAGATCTTTTTTTGTCAACAGAGATGTTCTATTCAGAGAAGACATCTTTCCATTCAAAGGACAATCCTCATCTTTAACACCTCTATTTGTGGATACTACATCATACACAAGCTCTTATACAGATGATACTAACAGTATGTTTGATAATAGTGCAGGTCAACAGACTAACAATCATATTAATATAGATAACTCGCAAGCACCTGCAACATTGCCAAGTAGTGACACAGAAGAATATCATGATGATCAACAACATAACACTTCTATTGACCATCAGATATCTGGTGAAGTAGAAGTACAAACACAACAGATTACTCACCTGCCAGTAAGAAAATCTAATAGAGACAAGCATCCACCAGCATGGATGAAGGATTTTGTATCATTAAACATCCATCAGGAAGTACTCTATCCTTTGAACAAATATATAGCATATGATCACTTATCTCCAATGTATCAAGCTTCAGTGCAGCCTTCTCCTCTACAACTGAACCTACCACATATGCTGAAGCAAGCAAAGATCCAAGATGGATACTAGCAATGCAAGAAGAAATAAAGGTATTAGAAAGCAATAATACCTGGACATTAGTAAAATTACCTGAAGGAAAGAAACCTATAGGCTTTAAGTAGATATACAAGATAAAATATCAAGCTTCAGGGGAGATAGAAAGATATAAATCTAGGCTTGTAGCCAAAGACTATAGCCAACAAGAAGCCATTGATTATCAAGAAACTTTTTCCCTAGTGGTAAAAATGGTAACTGTCAGACCAATATTATCATTAGTAGCTGCTAGACAATGGCATATACATCAAATGGATGTGTATAATGCCTTTCTTCAAGGT